GTGTTCCTCCCGCAGGGCAGCCCTACAGTAGCTCACCGTCTCCTTCGCTTCCAGCTGCTCCCCGGGGCTGACGTGTGCGTGCTGTGCGGCCCTACGCCCTCCATGCACGGTGCTGAAAGCACCCTGGTGGGCCGCTTCTGGTCACCCCTAGTGGACAATCTGAGAGACTGCCTCGCCATCGGAGAACGCTGCCTTCCCTCATCCGTCACTTTACGGCCTGACGTACTGGCCCTCCTACTCATCAACCGCGAAAACCACCGCTCCGTTTCCTGCATGCCCGCCCCCTCGTGCGCCTACCCCCAAAGGGACCCACCCTCACCCTCTGAGGCTCGCTGCTGGGAGCTGCTGAAGCGCTTCTACATTTTCTGCATGACACGCTATTTCAAGCAGGAGGAAGCGGAGGGCACCACGGAGGAGGAGGGGGGCACCCACCAAGGAAACACCGAGGACTTTGTAAATGGATTCTCCCACCAGCCACTGAAGTGCTATGTGATCACAGATGAGTGTAAAAGTTTCGCGCTGCAGACGCCGCAGCATCAACTCTTCCTGCTAACGCCACTGACGGCGCCAACATTTGCCCTGAACACCATTGCCGCACAAACTCTCTCAAGTATTATTGCTGCTACTGGTTTCTAATGACCTTATTTCTGACATCCCCCAAGGGTTAAAAGTCCTAACTTCGTACCATTATTACCCCCTTTTACACTTCATGGCCCACTTACCAAAATGGCTACCACACTTGACTTGCTGCCTGCAACAATGGGCTCCGATGCAAAGACGTTACTGCTCAGAGATATTCATTTAACTGTGTTTATTAGATGGAGAGATCTATCTTCAGGAGCTGTATATGCTATGTGAAGCCATATGAGAAGTATTAGGATAAAGATGCAACTACAGTATGTCTTTTATTTTTTAAGTATATGTTTTTTCTGCATTTTGAATATAAGAAAGAAATTTAACAATGTGATGTGTTCTATTTCTCGTAGTTTATCCTTGTTGACATAATATGACATATTTGGAATGGTCACAGAAATGCTGAATGATTCATAAATTAGTTAATGCTAACATTTTATTTATTTTAGACACAAGTGTTATCCCAGCTGTATTTGTTCTGTTATATTGTTTGTAAGATTTTATTTTAACATACATACATGTTACAATTAATATAAAAATATATATTATTATCAAGTATGCCCGGTCCCCTTGAAAGGGGCTATATAAATGCATTAAAACGATTTCATTTACGTTGGACGTAATATTATTTTGAGGGGTAACAAGGTGTGAAATCATTCATGGACTCATTTTTTTTTTTTTTTGCTTTTTAAATAGGATTGCGTTCACTGGCCATGAAAACTGTCAATTACCCTCCCCGATTTTATTCCGTTCAAATCCATTTAGAATTTTTTTTTTACCCAAATTTAGTAAAAACAACTTTTTTTTTTGCCATATAACAACGTATCGGATGTACTATACATGAACTGCAACAAAGCAGCTCTATCTGAATAAAAAGGGGTCAGTCCAAAATAGGTGGAGCATCCCTCTCTGCTTATTTTGCATTTGAGAAAAAAACACTCCTCCTTGGTGCCGTCACTGTCACTTTGTCTCTCTGTGAATTGCATGCAACCGCGTGGCCACGTCAGGGTGCACAACTTGAGCAGAACCGAGCCTGGTGCGTTGGATCGGGTCCTCGAAGGGGAGGGATAACAAAAAAAAGGGGAGGTACCCTTTTCTTGAAAGCGTTACCATGTGTGCAGACTTCGTTCCAAACACCCCCCACACTCGTTTTCCAAAAAGAAAAAAAAAACCACACACTGGATGCTTGGGAACATCTCGAAGCACATTTTTTTAATACCACCATTTTATTTTGGAGGAAATTTGGACTTGCACCCTGATCAAAGTTCAAAGGGACTCTCGTTCAAGGTGGCGGCTGCACTTGCTCAGCTTAGCGTTGAACTTCTCTCGAGTTTACTCCACTAAAACTTAGGAGGACATGGCAGCGGCGAGGATAGCGAGGCTGTCGCCCGGCAAAGTTGCCCGTCTGAGTTTGACTCAAAGCCGGTGTGGAGCGTTAGCCGTTAGCGGTGGCTGTGGTGGTGTACCCGCGGTGCGTTCAATGACCTCTCCCCTTGTGTCCGCCAGAGCCATGTCCGGCCTAAGCGCCACGCGTTGCGGGCTGCCCAAGGAGAGCGTGGCCGAGAACGGAGCCCCGCCGCGGGGCAAGGTACTAACCATCGACACCATGAACCCCACCGTGAAGATGGTGGAGTACGCCGTGCGGGGGCCCATCGTGCAGCGGGCGGTGGAGCTGGAGAAAGAGCTCTCCGAGGTGGGTCACTTTGTAAATCTTAAATTGAATTTTACCCTGTTTTTGGTGGCCTTAAAAAAAAAAAAAACTTGACAAACTTGTTCGTTCCAGCTTTTAATTGTTTTGCGAATGTATGTTCATTGGTCACATTATTAGCTACATCTAAAAATATGATCATGCTTACTTTTGTTTGACACTGTCGCAGAACTATTCGTTGAAATTGAACAATAAGGCACACTATTGTGGTTTGCATCATACCAGGCAGCAGGGGCATATTTGGCTTTAAAAAAAAAAAAAATATATTTGCCTTTGTTTGTGATTGGCCCCAAAGCAAACTCACTCAGATATAGGGCCCTCCACGTTCTACTGCAACATTTAATATCGCGAAGCCATTTTGATTGCTTCAGTATTCGCATCACGACGAAATGCGACACAAGATAAAAAGGAGTAGTATTTTGATTATTTTAATACTAATAGGAGGAAGATTAGCCGGTTAAATATAAATAGAACAAATATTAAACATGTAGATGAGAGAAAATATTTAGAAAATTAGAGGTGGGTGTGGCCAGGGGGGTGGCCATAGAGTGAAAAGGGGTGATTGTGGCCACACCTGTACACCACATAGCTCCGCCCCTGAAGAGGGGCATTCCAATCAAGGTTTTATGCTATTGATTATCCATGATTGTGATGTACTTATACCAGTCACATGGATAGATGTAAAATTTATATTTTAGAGCTGCAACTCGCGACTTTTCTTCAATAATCGATTGATCTGTTAATTTTTAAAAATTAATCTATTAGTCCGATTCAAAAAAGAGATAGTTCTATCCCTTTATTATTCAAAAAGTGGACATTGCTTCAAATTGACAGTGTAGAAAAAGCACAAACAAATGATGTTACCATTACTGCTTTGGCCAGAAACATGTCAGAAAATAGGGGAATGTGTATCATTATTTTCCCCAGGTAAAAGCAGCCATTTGCAAAAGTCCTTTTCGGATTCAACACAAAGATCATCACTAATAACATTTACAGGG